TATGGTTTGAGATTATCGAATGAAAAGATACGTTTGAAGGAATGTTGAAACTTAGGATGTAGAGAAGTATAGAAAGTGACTGGATATGCTCCATTTCGTCTGATTCTAAGGCATGTCACTCAGCCTACTTTTATCCACCGATGGCACTTATGACCCACATCTAAAGGAAGTAATCTACATCTACCAATATGGCTCAGATCAACAGTCGATGATTTCATGAACGAATGCTACATATTTTCGGTTTAGCTGATCAAAGCCTTCTTACATCATACAAACTGTTACTACTTCCACTGTTTTTCATTCATCTCGACAACTTCATCTTGTTTTGATGATGTGGTTTGGAAATTTGAACTACCGATTCACATTTGTGCCAGGTTTTACGTTGCTTATGGCCGATTGACTAATAAACTTATTCAATTTCATTGTGATTACCTAATTTTCACTTGAATGTAATTGATACCCTCTTAACTTGACAAGTTGTCTTGACATTGTCATGAAATATTGAGTTTCCTATTGAATTTGTAATTTCTGATGATTGGTTGTTTTAAAACTTGATAAATTACGTAGTTACTATAGACATTTAATAATCGGATGCATTGCGAACTGTTTGGATCAGTCGTTAATCAGATCGTGCAATCTGTGACTTACCTAACAGGAAACATTACAGTTAAAATAAAGAAGAGTAGTGTGTTATATCGTCTTAGTGTAGGTTTCTCCATCTTTATGCATCCAGATATCTCCACCTTGAATCATTTTCGAGGATCTTCAAGTTACCTTTTGACGAATAATTCCGGAGTCCCATGAACGAAAATCTTTAAAGTAAACTATTCTCCACAAAGCTTGTGCCCACTAGTAACTAATTTTGAGATGTAATTCTAAAAATCTTAGTGAACATCCATGAACAGCGTAGTTCAACCATGTTTATTTCAATCCCGTTACTCACTAATGACATTGGCAGATGGTCGATTTAGTTTAAGCACTCGCCGCTGGAGATCTATGTATCTTGTGTTTAATATCTGATTGGGTTGTGAATGCATACTGCTGAGGAGGCCCATATTAAGACGAAATAGTTGTGAAATGCTTTCATGTTTCAAATGTTTTTCTTACTAAATATAAGAAAAGTGAAATTTTTGTCTTTACATTGCCATGAAGGCTTGTTGTATATGTCTGTGTTGGTGTTTGCAAATTCTATTTCATGTGTTTGTGCTGAAAACAATTGGCACTTTAATTTTTTGTTCATTTCCTTTATTTTTCAACACTCATTAACAATTCAGGGATGTTGAAATGATTTCCATTTCGAGTGGTGGTGATGATAATGATGATGATGGTGATGATTTAACTTGTGATACTAAAATAACCAATATTTCCACTGGTAGCACTAAACGTAAACATGTATCCAATGAATTTAACAAGAAACGTAAAAAACCTCGAATTATGGACGTAACAGTTACTAATCAATCCGATGTGAATTGTTTTAATCCATTAGATCAGACTGCTGTTCATCCTGATTCATATGAAGTTGCAGCAAAGTGAGTTTGTTGTATTTTCTGAGAAAGTATTGTAATTGTTTATAGTATAAACCTATCGAAGGATCTCGAGTACTGTTGTTGATATGGGAGTAATTGTCACTTTTCAGCTGTTCACACCACGTGAAGGGATATTTCTTCTTAACGAAGGTACCTGTAACGTGAACTGGATTAGTCGTTGTTGTGGCCAACTGGAAACGTGAACGCAGAGTTCAAGTGTCAGCTGATCAATGTCGATCACACACAGGCTTTTTTGTGCATAGTTGTAGATATTACAGTTAGCAGCTTCAAAGGCCTTAACTACGGAGATGCAAGTCTGGTGGCTTGCTAGACAATGAGTGTTAATTTTCGGAGGCATGTTTTCTGACCGTTTCATCCCATCGTAGGAATGCGGTATCGCTTTAGACTAATTCTCTTGGGGAGATATTGTACTCCTATTTCATATCCGTAACGTCAGTAGCCTGACTTTGCCTTCAGACATAAATTTGTGCTTAGTGAATTAGTTGTATCACTATTGAAGTTAGTTTAGGTAAACGAAGTGTCTCAGTGGAAATAATTATGCCTTTGTACGGCTGAAGGTGGAGAGAGTCAGCTCTTCCTCTCGAAATGCTCTCATATAGCCACGTGATCACACTTACCTTCCAGTACCATAATGCCATCCATTTACTAGTTATTCGTGTGGGTGTTAAATCTTCATTTCGTAGTGGAATCCATGTCCGTCTAGTTCGGTTTGGGCAACCGAATTTATTTTTATGGTGTGTGTTTACTTGATTAGTGAGTTACGTCCATGTTTAATGAACTGAATTGAATATTAGTTAGTAATATGTATCATGTAGACAAAATAATTCAGTTTCATTTTGTCATAATTTACTAACGTTCTTCTTCTATTGTAATCTTCTACATTTCAGTATTATTTCATTACTCCAATTAAATCTGACAGATGTAGGGTCGGTGAAAATGAGAGCAGCTGCGACACAGTTTATGATCAGTGAAGATAGTGAGTGATTTTATGCTTTCTATATATTTCGCTTGTTGGGAAAAGCATGTTGTGGTGTTGTTTTGACAAGTTATTGCACTGATCTAATTAAATCAATCATAAATTGGAATGATATTTTGATGTACAAGAAATTTTCTAGTGTACTGATAATTTGACAGTTTAGAAATATTTCATTTTTCTCTTTTTGTTTTTTAGGAGATAAACGACTTGAACAGTTTTGTTCCAAAACTGTTGGACTTGATACTTTACGTGATATTGTCGTAGCACTAACTCGTCCTTTGGATTTCGATGAGCGTCAAGGTATGCTTATTGCTATGTATTTGTTTAATAAAACTTGCTTTGTTGTGACTGTTGTTCGAAGTGAATTTTAAGTGGTTAGTCGGTTTAGAAACGTGATCTACCTATCTATCTATCTATCATAGCTGAAGATGTTAGGTAATTGTATAGTGACAACGTTCTCCTTGGAATACCCATTGATGTATGGTACCTATATAGATGTGATTGTGGGAATTCGGTCATTTAGAAATTAAAAAATGCTCTCATGTTTTCCTTCTAATAAGTACCCATTAACCTTCCTGGTCTAGTTCACTATCACATCCATCGTTAACAAAATGAGTTTATTTAGATGAATACAATCTGGTTTTGTTGGTTTCTTATATGAATTGTGTGTCGTCTGTCACTTATCCTTGGTTCAAGCCATTTCCCCGCTTCCGTTTTTTCTCACATTATTGTTATTTTACTTTCGTATAATGTATATTTATTTAAGCCCTTCTGTATTATGTTTAAATCCCGACTATCAAGAACTGCACATGAGGGGAGTGAGTCTTAAGGCCTCAATCTCATAAATGTTTTTATCAGTAGTAGTCGTAGTCGTGGTAGTAGAGTGCCTTTCTGCTAAAGTGTATTTGTCATTTATTTATTAATATTTGTCCGTTTACTGTAACATTTTATGAAACAACATGGTTTTATTCTACTTTAGACTGTTTTACTCCATTGTTTCATTCGACCGTGATGAAAATATCGGATTTACGTAAAGGTATGCAAGTGAAAGGTCGTGTGGAGAATGTCACTACTTTTGGTGCCTTTTGTGATATTGGTGTTGAAGAAAACGCCTATATTCCAAGACATGCATATCCTCGAAATTGTCTAACTTCCAACCTGAAAATCACCAATGATACTTCTACTGGAATTGGCGTCAGTGACGGCGGTGATATTTATCACAAAATGTTTACTTTACGTTTAGGTGATCGAATCAAAGCTACTGTCTCGAGTGTTGATATTAAGTATAAACGAGTTGCATTGCATAAAGTTTCTGTAATGACGTAAATACGATTGTTGTTTCAAGCACTGAGAGAGGAAATTCAAGCAAACGATTTTTGTATAGTAATTCCACATTTATTTTTTTAATTAACAATTTATTTACATAAGATTTCGTTATTGAATGGTTTCTTCCCGTTATGTAATTTACTTTTCTACATATTTTGTTTACAGTTTATACGATTTATAAAGAACTGAATCCAAGTTTTCTTTCTGTTACAATCGATTGATCATTGAGTAGCTAGCAATGTTCTGATTGTTTAGTCCTTTAGTTAGCTTTGATTTGATTCTGTCGATCAATTTGCAACGTGGTCTCTAGTTTACATGTGATTCACTATCGTGTTCACTATGTTGAGATGCGAGATGGTGGTTGCTAGTAGTCAGTAGGAAGCTCTGAACCTACGCTCCGTCCTATGTGACATCTACTATCGAGGTGTACCTGTCATGTTGAGGTAACTGATGCTCTTTGGTGAGAACTATCCCGTATCACTCATCTTCAGAATTATAGACGTTATAACTCAGCTTTCCGAGTTGCGATTGACCACCTATAGGACTGAGATATATTTATGATTGATTGATCACTTAGTAGTAACCGACGTCACATTTTTCTAGTTTTATATATATTGCTGACCGAATTTTATTGGCCTAGTTACAGGTACACTCTGCTGACGAGTTCCAAGTACTACGAAGCCTAGATTCATGTTTTCTTGTCAACCACCTCCAACCATCCAGCATAGTTTTACCCTATTTATTATGATGTTCTTAGTACTTGAAGGTAGGTATGTGGTGGTGATGGTGATAGTTAGTTAATTCGATTGATCTACCCTATAACATGATGGGTAGTTAAACGCAAACAATAGAATAGTAATTAGATATCGGGTGTGAATAATTCTTTGTGGTTGTCGGGTTTTGTTCAGTAAATTGTACAATATCTTAATTTAACTGAGTGAATGAAGATTGGAAACCGTTATACTTAGAAGTTAAATTTGTTTTAAGAAATATCTGTCTAATCATTGGTATGGTTATGTTGGTGTTGATTTTCTGTCCTATCACTACGTTATACAGCTCAGATTTGTACCACATCGAATTACAATTGAGTATTTCGAAAGTGTGAAGAGAATAAACAAAAGATCCTTAATTGAAATGTTTATTTTAATTAAGTCTCCATTGTTAGTTGTCCACATTCATTTATCTACAATGAAAAGAAACAAACAGAAATTATTCAGTTGTTGTTGTGACAGTGTCTAACTGATTAAAGCGTCCAATTGTCGGCTGCTTTATTACAGATTCGATGGTGTTTACGCCTAATTCGCTTTTGTCAATCAGGTATATGCAATATAGTCCTTATAGACTTAGGCAATGATTCGAAGTAACGTACACTAATCTGTACTTGGTAAATAATTGAATAAATGTGTTTCCAATCTCTATTTTCATTTTTATGAAACACATATTGTAAGACTGGGTAAAATAGCTATTCAGTCTAATTATTATCATGAATAAAACATTAAACAAATGTTGGACGTGATACATTTATCTTAATGAGTGTTGAATAAACGGTCTGGAGTTGTTAACAAAATTTACGCAGTCTCATACAGTAATACGTTGTGTTATTTGAATTAATGCCCCCAAATGCCCTGGTACGGCCGAGAGTGAGGAGAGTCCGCTCTCCCTCTCGAAATGCTCTCACATGGCCACGCATATATAGCCTCTGCCAGGGAAGTCCTACTCACTGCCTTCTCGTAGCGGGAGTGTTGTTTACGAAATTGAGAGGACGAAAAGCGAATGTCCGGCGCTATAACCGGATCCCAAATCAATGGTGCACATAGACTGGCTCCAGTATCCTGAAGGAACAAATGGCGTATGAACCAATCGTTGATCACCGGCTACCATGGGACTGCATCTCCTCACGATGCTCCACTGCCTTGTGGATCAGACGTTCACGTCGAAGGCTCCGGGTGTAGTCCCCTAAGTAAACCACCTGCTTCGGTCTGGGCACCCGGGCAGTATCACAGCCTTCACACATATCAAATGAGATTTGTGTGGCGCATATGTATTTGGTACCTCCTTGTACCATTATCTATGTGTTAAAATAAAATAAATAATTTGAATTAATCACATGAAAATGAGTAGTCTGTAGCATTCGGTGTATGATATACTGAATAATTGTTGCAAAGTCTAATGAAATTTTCATTTGTGAAAATAAGATTTACATTTTAGACTAGCTAGTTCATAGTGTTGACGAGATTCAAATGAGTTTTTTCTGTTCTACACTGCTTTCGCATTCAGTTGTTATGTAGAGATATACTTGGAGATGATTAACACTGGTGTATGTAAACTATGTGGAAGTTACATGACATATTTTCAATGTTGTATTAATGTGTACAGTATTCAACGTTTTCCAATTGTAAGCTTGTCTGGTCTGTTGTAAAGTGTAATATGTTTTTTAATGTAGTCATCATAAACTGGCATCAGTTAGGTTATACCAATTAATGACTGTTTATTTATCTGATCAGATTTCTGTAGTCAAATATACAATTAGTAATACAAGATTAAATCACGTCTGGTAACTTTGAGTAAAATCGAACGTACTGAGAAGTAGTTTGATTTCCCATCGAAAAATACTGACCTACAATAAGAAGATAGTCGATATGGTTTTTGGAAATGAACTCACATGGGATATTATGAAGAATTTTAGATTTAATTAATGTAAATTACACGTTATGTTAATTATGGTGTATGTCGGGTAGCGTTTTCATTGTTCAATTAAAATACACTCACTGAAGTCAATTGAGGAAAATTTCTAAACTGTGGTTTCTAACTTACGCCATTTTTGCGCCACCCATTCCCGGAGTTCTTGTACTATATATAGGATGAAAAAACCGAATAAATTGTAGAGTTTATGAATCAAATGTCATAAGTAGATTTAAGTTCAAATAGAACGATTTTCTCATAGAACTTAAAAGCCTGTTTTTCAGATGCACTGTCTCCTTCAACTGAATGTTCATGAAGAGAGTGTGCTTTGGTGCTGTAGTCGCTCTCACGTAGTTGTTTTGGCTTCAGATTTCTCTCAATTAATTCTAGGTGAATATCCATTGTCGGCCAGTATCTTCCGTAGTTTATCATTTTCGATACATCAAACTCGCGAACAGACAGAATAGATCGGGTTTTACTTTCAGCCTTAATGAACTGAAAAGAGGCAGAGGATAACACAGTGTGTCAGAAATTGGATGCAGACATCGAGAGAATGAATAACACCTGTGATGAACTGGAGAGACCACCCCAGAACAGAGTTGGTTGGGGAGTCCTGGTGAGCAGCCTATACTCTACGAGGGCCTTTAGGTGTAGGTAAGTAATTAATTAATTAAGCAATATTGTTAAAAATTAAATCCCAAGAAATAAATGATTGTGATCATTTCATATACAACAAGTAGTAATGTGACAACTTTGTCTTCATATAAGCGATGTCTTAACACGTGCTTTACAAATACTGTTTATTGAGAGGCACACAAACTGATAATTAGAATAAAATAATTTACATTGCTCGTCGTCTATTAAATTGGAATTTGAGTTATCTGAAAAAGTGGAGAATACAATGGTTAAATGTAGGGAAAACGCTTATCATCATTAAAGTGAGTTGAAGTTTATCAGATTGTTACGTTAACTTACCTTTCATTATAGCAAAACAAACAAACAAACAGTTACTTATTATCGGTAACAGCTGTTCAGCATCAGATAACTCTCACTATACTGCTTCCTAACGAACTTCATTTTGTGTTTACAACAATGTGTAAGCTCACAATTTCCTATAGATCCGACATCAGTTTATTCACCGGTATATTCGGAGTCAATTTTATGAGAATCCTTGGGAAAATATTTCCTAATACTATAAACTCTGTCTATCAGCTTGGAAAATATCACAACGAATATCATAGGGAGTATGTTAACAAATGTCGTTTGTATTGTTGACGGGTTAATCTCACCTGTGACACCATTTAAAATGAGAAATCACTGAGCTTCTATTTTGTTCTAGTGTATGAGATAACTGATGTGGGCCTATCAACTAATCCATCAAAAGGATCGAATGCAAGACTATCAGAGCCTAACTATGAGATTAGTGGTTCGGTGTCTTATGGTGCACAAGTCCGAATTCGATCGAATCTTGATAAAAACAACCTGAAATTGTAGTTGTCTTCCCAAAACCAAGTCACTTAATGTATGTCTACATGATTCAATAAGTAAATAACTTACCATCATCATCCTCCTGTGTCAGATCCTCTTCATTGTCTAATAAAAATGAAGTTCAAAAGATGCTAATAAATGTGTAACTATTGCTTATTAAGAGATTCTGAATTGGTCTACTTGGTATAGATTGTGAACTATAGAATCTAATATTTTGATAGAAAACCTTCTTTTAAATTCATTTTGCATAATATGTACTGGATAAAAGGATTGACAGATTGAAGTTTTTCAAATTTCCATAGGTAATTCGACAATGAATATACAATGCATTGAAGTGTTAGTTCATAAGTGGTTTCCGTTTGAAAGCTATCTTTCAATGAGTGAATGTTATAAATTGTGTGACCCGCCAATTGTTATATGTTGAGACGCGCGGATTGGAGGGCAATGAGGAGAGGGGTAGCGAATTGTCGATCGGACCAAAAAGCTTAAACACGTGAGAACAGCCTAGAGTTCTAATTGGCCCTGCTTCCCTGTCTAGCCCAGCCAGTTGAGTCCAGAACGCAAGTCTCAGCCTCTGTCATATGAATCATTATATTTCTAACATACTCTGTTTATATACCAAACAAACAGACTACATCGTACCATGAAATAGAAAGTAACATTTGTACAAGATTTGACCACCAGGAAATGACACAAATATATATTGACCAACGGGAAAATGACACGTTGGATGAATATTGACCAATTGGGAAATGACACCATTTCTCATTCAGGCATAGCATTAGATAATTTCTGGGGTATTTTCCGAATACCCCAACAGTGAAACTATAATCAATGTATGTTATTGGTATAAATTGTGACAACATGCAATAACTAATGAGTCGACATTCAGATAGTAGTTGATGTGGAATCGAAGGAACAATCAAGTGTGAGACAATTGGTTGACATTTTGAAAATGAAGTAGTTACTGTATGGTTCTCAGATTTTACTAAGAGATTCTGTAATTGCGTATTGAAATACACTTGATTGTCCCCGCTTGTGCCCTCGTTCACGACCATAGGACTAAGTGATCACGACAATCTTTCATTAATGTCAGTCAATAAGTTTTTCTCAGAAATCAGTTTGTATACGCGTATTCTATTTAAACTAATATGGTGTGTGTTTTGAATTATTTATTTATTGTGTAATTGCTAATAAGTAAATGGAGTGTAAGTGAACACTTGTGTGAGATAGATTTCAATAGAGTGTATGATTGATTAACAAAAGAAAGGATCTTTGTTAAATTTACCGGTAGAACTTATATTCATTCGATTTCTAATGACTAAAATGGAGAATGAAAATTGGTCAGTGATTATCATGAATTCTATCTTGTGTAAATGTAATGAAACAATTGTAACTCTTTGGTTTGTGATGTAATATGTACTAGTAATTGTTTTCTGGACTTGAATTGAATAACGAAAAATGACCACTGTGTTATTGAATAGGCAGGAAGGCAATTCAGTGAAGAAAATGTCATTTCGATGATTTGATTTTCTTGCTCTTGTGGAGCATATTATTTTGGCCGCACAGAACGAGCTCATTCGAAACGCATCTACCAACATCACTTTACATGGCTTTCAATACGATTATAGAAGTCAGTCGAAACCTACATTTTTGAGCATCTAATCAATTTCTGTCATTCATGAGTCGTGGATGCGCACTGCTGAGGAATATCCTTGTGAACGAAACGACCATCAACTGCTTCCACGATTTCCATGGTGGTCTAGCTTCAATCGACTCATGAATTCAACTATTAAATTCTTACAATCTCCACAGTACCCCTTTTCTGATAAATTTTAATAATTAAAAAGCTGATAAACAATATTACTGCATCATTTCACATAAATAATAAACGAGTTTGATACTTACTCTCCATGTTTATATGAGGTGTAGTGGTTACATCTAAAGCCGTTGGGGATAGTAAAACATGTCTTATAATGAGTATATAAAATGTATATATTTTCAAATATTACAATATGGTCGAATACTTGATGGTTATTTCGTAACATAATTACAATGCAAACTCACCATCCCATACGACCATTACAATTAAGAGTAACAAAGTGAATTTTAGCATGTTCACTGTTGACAGCTGAATTGATGAAAACCACTCGTGTTTATATAGTATTTTTGATTGTGGGAGGTTAGAAGACGGACAGGTGTAGTGAAGATGTTTCAACGAATAACTGATTACAGAATATGTTTGTATCTGTCTATTTACCAACGTGACTGACGTACTGCTACACAGTGATTTTATGTTATCACAGACATATATGTTTTGCGAATCTGATACGTTATACTTGAGTAGTGAAGGAATTTATCTCAATTATCATAACTATTTAGTTTTTCTAGCTGAGTTTAGAGAACAAAACACAATATGAATCCGTCTATCTTGACCACTGTATTAAGGAATAATCAGAATGATATCTGAAGAAAGACATCCTGAAGTTATCATAGTAGTCTATTGATGATTTACTCACTTGTTTCTTTCTTATTGTAAATGCCCATATGAACCACGTGACTGTACTAGAATTATATACCAATATAGAATTGAGTATACCTCTATGTATAGTTTAAATGTCTGTCTTCCTACAAATGAATACTCTACCCTAAACTTTGATCTACCTTGTAGTGTTCATTTAAAATAACATCTGCTTTTTATGATTAGTAAGGAGACGAAAATACATGACATATTTGAATATGATGTAGTAGCCTGTTTGGATCCTAGTACCAATAAAAATGCTAATTCGTTTAATTCAGTTTACATACTTACTAACGCCTGTTATTCCCAATGGAGCATAATCCATCGACCAGTATTCTCCAAACCATTATGTCCTGGACCTTCTTTTCTAATTCTATTTAATTGTTGTTCATTCTTCTCATGTCTGTCTCCATTTCTCGGTGTAATGTGTTCTTTTGTCTTCCGCTTCTCCTTTGGCCTTGAGGACTTCAAGTGAGGACTTGCCTCGTGAAGCAGTTGTGTGCTTTCCTCAATGTGTGTTCTATCCACTTCCAGAGCTTCTTCCTGACTTTTTTCTCCGTTGGAATCTGCTTTGTTCTCTCCCAAAGTAGGCTGTTGTTGATAGTGTCTGGCCAACAGATCCCGAGTATTTTGCGTAGACTACTGTTAACAAACCCTTGTATCTTCTGGATGATGGCTTTTGCAGTTCTCCAAGTTTCTGCCCCGTACAGTAGAACTGTCTTCACATTTGCATTGAAAATTGTGACTTTGGTGTTGGTTGACAGCTATTCGGAGTTCCAAATGAATATAATTTTATCAACTTTGTATCCAATGCTCAATTTGTTTGAAACTATCAAGTGGAACCTTGATATTGATGATACTCAGAAATGAGAAAATGTAACTAGTTGTTTTGATAAACTAATTTTGATAATTGTGATGAATTTGTTTCTTAATACTCCTTGATATGGTTCACAAAGTCATTGTTGTCGCTTCAACAAAGCTATCTCAATCCATATATTCGACAAGACAGAAGACCTAATATCGAATGATGATCATGTCATATATGATCTACAAACAATCATTCACCAGATGATTGGTTTAGAATTTGTGTTGTTAACTAAAATGATAACAGGCATTGAGTGTTTGGACTATAAACTTTGAGGTATGTATGTAAAAGTAATATGTTTATCTCCTCTTACTTCGGCCAACTTCAGGGCTAATAAATTAAGTAATGTAAATTACAGAATGATCGAATGTGACTATCTCATCAAGTGTGAGAACTACATAGGCATAACACTACTATCACAACAAGGGAAAGTTTTCAACAGCGTTATTGAACCGAATGAAACATTGAGCAGACGCACAAATTCGATATAAACAGGCAGGATTCCGTGAGGATTGGTCGTGCACAGACCAAATCGCGATCCTATGGATGATTGATGAACAATCGGTCGAATGCAACTTATCACCATACATCGATTGACTTAGCTACGAGAGAGCATTTCATAGCGTAAATAGAATCTTATGGAGCATTCTTTGATTTGTATATATAACTGTGAAACTGGTAGAGAGAATTTATTGAAAGGAATTTTCTTTGTTCATTTGTCAGTGTTTGGATATGATGAATATTTTTAAACAAACACTCAGACATTACGAGTCACCAGTAAATGAACTTTCGATAGCAAAATATAATTAAGCCTTTAATGAAGTACTTCTTAAAGTTAGATTCATATAAATAAACCAGGAATTACATGACAAACAAGTAATTTAGTGTTTTCGTTATTTTACAAGCACGTTGGGTAGAAAGAAATTCCACAATCAGATGGAGTTGACTATCATTTAACAAAAGCCACAAAGTTATTTCTTAATATAGTTTGTGGAATATGCAATAAATATTACTATGAATTGAATTATTAAGATCACCAGTTACTTCCGCCTGTTACTCCTGGTGGAACATAGGCTGCTGACTATGATTCTCCAAACAACTACGTCCTATGCGCTATCTCCTTTTCATTTGATCTCAAGTGTTATTTATTCTTTCGATGTCCGGATCTAAGTTCTATCACAATGTGTGTTTTGCTACGCCTCTTTTCACTTTGTTTTGAGGATTCCAAGTTAAGACTTTCCTTATGATTCAGTTTGATGATCTGTGCAATGTGTATCTTATCCACTTCCATGATCTTCTAATTTCCACTTCAACTGGTGGCTGGTTTGTTCTCTGCTAAAGTAGGTTGCTGTTGCTGTTGCTGTTGATGATGTCTGGTCAACGGACACTAAGTATCCTGAGTAGACGGTTGTTTACAAATTTCTGTACCTTTCCTATGGTGGTTGTGGTAGTGATGCATCACGTTTCAGCTTTGTACAATAAAAATGTCTAGAAATTTGTATTGAAAATTCTAACTTTAGTGTTGTCTGACAGTTTTTTTTTAAGTTTTATATATTTTTCAAAACTTGTTGAACTGTCTAACAATACTTCAGAATGATTTGACCTAAATGATCTTGTCTACTCCTCGTCGGTAGTAACACTTCACAGACATTATTTTACTTGTCTTTAAAACACAAAAGTTTTACATTTTGACATTGTCTAGAAATGTACTAATTAATCACATTGATAAGAACAATGAGGTGATAAATGTACTAATTCTTTGACTTTTATCACAAAACTTTCATTCTTTCTTAGACAAATGAACTGAGAATGTTGAATAGATAAAATGTTTATAAAATAATTTATAAGATAGAAATTTTTTTTAAAATTAATTAAAATTTATTCAATAATCTAACCATACCCTGGAATGATTTGACCTAAATTATCTTGTTTACTTCACATCAGTAGTTACACATCATCAAAGTTGTACGTTTTAGTAAATATCAAGAAATGTGCTAATTATTCATATTGATAAAATAAAGTTTAGTTAGTTTATTAAACTTGACTTGCCAATAATTAACACTTAGATTTAGTTTAGGCATAAATTAAAGTCTATTCTGTTTAGTGATGTCGATTTCAGGTGTATTTTCTTTTTGTCTACAACAATGTCAACTGTAGAAAACAGTCACATCTAGCTGGCAAGTCTCAAATAGGATGAGCTGCTTATCCTGGATTCCATAACTCGCCACAACCCATCTCGTCTTATGATGAGTGTGATTTAAGGCAGTATCTAGGCAATTTACATATGATCAACACACACCATTAAGAGACTTGTAGTGGCTTGGCTTAGTTAGTCGATCACCGTGATAACCGTGTTTAAAACTGAGAAGGCGATGAGAGACGAAAACTACAGTTAATTAGAGGATAGCACAGATCACAAAGCTATAAGCACATCGAGCGAAATTGCAGTAGAGAGGCGAATAGGTATATGCGAGCAATTACATAGGCAAGTTTTTGGTCAAATTACATAAGGGCGAAGCAAGACAAAGTAAAAGCTAATGATAGGATTTTAGTGCATATACACATGGGGATGAGGAGGAATCATCGAGTATTATTTAAGCAATCAACATTTCAGTTAAATCTGTCATATGATGTAGTGATCATAACGGTACAAAGAAGTATGAGCAAATCGGCTTATACAAGATTAGATTGACGCTAGTGTGTGTTGTGTTCGTGTGTCCGTGAGGTTATACGTTTAAGAGTAAAGGTAAATAAGATGTACCGAGTTTTATATTATATAACATGAGCTTACCAATCCATATGTATATGATGAAGAGGAAGATTTACAATTAATATTCAAAATAGTAGAAAATTATCAATAAAAAATTGTAGCGACATAGGGTTGGGGCCATCCATCGCAGTTTTAAACATCAGTTAGAAGATTCACACAACCAATTCGAAGATGAATTAAGCTTTAGTACTGTCTTTAATATCACATGGATAACTTAAAAACTATGAGTCCTTTCATCTTCATTACGTTAATTAATTTTTGAGTTGACGATATATTCGATGTATATTTACATGAATGATGAATAGGTTGTTGTTTTGACTATCTTCTTTCTTTTGCCATCATAGTATTCACATACAACGATTGCAGACTGATTTTGTGACACTCACAATAGAAATAAGCATTGTAAGTATGAGATTAAGATGTTCTGCATAGGAAGCTACCGTTTCTTACTCTACAAATAACAAGTTGATATATCCTTATTGGTTTTGCGAACTTAATTCATTCATTCAGTTGGCATTTCGGAAGGCTGTTACATTTAGTCGGTGCATAAATAGCGAAATTCCTTTAAAATGGTGCCAGTCATTGATCTAGTGAGAACAACCTGACACGAATGAAATTGCTTTCATTTAATTATTAAGTTCTGATTAGTGCTCATCATTTAGTGAAGTGGACATTGATGAACAGAATACCGTTGTTTTCTAGACATTTAACAGTGTACTAATTTTCAGAATTTTGTAAATATATATTGTTTTTTAATTCGTTTATGTGTTGGCTGCTCGAGTCTTCCCACTGCTGTTCAGAACTGCAATTGATGAATCTCTGATTGGCATATGTATATTCTATGTGGATTGCCTTGATCTTGCTTTTAGTCACAAGCTAAACAAGCCGAGATGATGGTGGCTTTTAGTGGAATCCAGTATGTGCGTTTCGTT